TTCTACTTTCTACCATCAAAATTGGAATAATTTTGACCATCAAAATCACCAAACCAATTTGGGCTGCATGTATAGTCCTGAACAGTCCGGACCGGACTTTTTCAGGTCCAGTCCCGCCATTTGGGACTTAAAGTCCTAAAAGTCCTAAAAGGTCCCCGTGTAACCTTATGCGCTGATTTTGTTTGAACCTCAAAAATTCAGTACGACACAATAAGGTTTGAAAAAAGGGTCCAAAAAACCAAAGCAAATAATAATTATTAGAAGGTACTTTGATGCACCACCAGAAGAAATTGAATATTTGGATTGGTATTCATCAAGAATAAAAGATCCTAATTATATAACTCTGTCACATATGGCAAAAGATTTTTTTTTCAATACAAGCCACAAGTGTGTCAAGTGAGCAAATGTTTAGCATTGCCAAACATACATTAAATCCAATTCGAAATAGGTTGGATTCAGAAAAAGCACAAGCAAGTCTATGCATAAAGAGCTGGATTGAAGCAGAAATTGTTTTTGGTTTTTTTATTTTGTTTGTTTTTGTGTGTATATATATTTTTTATAATAATAAAATAATAAGTTTTTTTAGTTTCGATAATAATATGTTTAAAAAAAAACTTGGGACTTTTTCAGGACTTTTTAGGACTAAGTCCCAAGATAGGACTGCCAGTCCCAGGACCGTCCTGAACTGTTTAGGACTGATTAATATCTCTGCTCAGAAGTGCGACAATAACTTTCGTGTTACAATATTTTGAAACTCCTGACCAAATTTGGTAATGATTTTCTTTTAATGTCGTTAAACTTTTTTGTTGTAAAGAACTTTTATTCATTAATAAAAAAAAGGAAATAAATAAGTCAAATAAATCAAATGTATGTTGTAGAAAATATCTATGAAAAAAAGTGTTACACGAAATTTATTTAGTCTCAATTTCTTAAGTGTATAACAAAATTTGGAATTTTCAAAATGCTAAGGCTCAGCCAATTTTCAGTTTAAGAAAAAACCAGCCAATAAGTTTTGAAGCTTGAGTCATGAACAATAAAACTTATCGGTTAAATTTTTTAAAATGATATAATTTTTTTTTGTTTTAGTATTTTGAAGTTGACCAATTGTTACTATAAGCAATTAATGATTATAGATGATCTGCACCGTATTATTCAGTGGTGAAAATCAATCAATTAATTCATTAGAAAATTTAATCTTTTCTGTTTTCACCAAAAAAAAAAAACTCTGTCAGTTCTTTCTCAAGAGAGAGAAATCTTGTCACAACTACACCATCACTGTTCTTGCAGCCCACACAGAAACAATAATCTTTAAATTTTTAGTTTCATCAATACCAGTCATATACTTGGACTTGGTTTTATCCATTTTCTATTATACTTGCAAATAAATACAAACCATTTCTAAAAAAAATGACATTAACCAGATTTTTAAATTTGAACAGGGGCATTACAAAAAAGTGTGCACAGTATTCCATATTAGTATGGATATAATGGATTTTTGAAAATTTTCTCTGTATCTAATACTAATAAATTACCCAAATGATCTCACTATATACATGTACCTATATATAACTATTACTATTACTTTGTTATTATTTTATATTGATGATGCATCAATTCCAGTCAGTGCCTTTCCCATATTTCAAACAAAGTTAAATGGAATAAAGAGGAAAGTCAATAAAATTAATAAATTATTCAGATTCATATTGAAACGTGTCAAACTGGTTTATTTATTATTTTTAAAAATGACTTTATTTATCTATGCAAATTTATATTATTTACTAATATGGTAAAATCTAAATACAGAAGGGTACTTTTTTTGCGATATACAGTACCTTCTAAATTTAGTATATGATTTTCAATGTGACTAATCGTGAAATCACGTTGACTTCTGGTGATGTATTAGCACCCGTGTCAAATTTTTTTTTTAAAATTTTTATTATGTATATTATACACATGTATACAAAAAAAATTTTCAAAACAATTATAAAGTAAACAAAGATAAATTATAATAAAATTAAAATTAAAGGTAGAGCTAAGATTGATTATAATGTAAAAGAATTATGTGTATTTATTAATTTATTTGTTAATGTAAATTCTAATTTTGCAAAAAAATTTTGAATTATTTGTTTTCATAATATTTTTTTTAGATTAGAGCCTTTCTTAAAACAACCGTTATTCTATTGTCATCATCACCTTTTCTTCCTTTCCTTTTATTCTTTTCTCTTTTTAATTTGTTGTAAGTTTCTTCAAATAAGGTTTTTGTCTCTTCATACTTATCAAGATATCACCAATTGTTTGAGTTATAGATTTAAAGCTATCTAAAAGTTGATATGATTTTTTTTTTGTATCAACAACTTTACCTTGAGTTATTGGTAGATTGGTTGTTGATAAATACCAACAATATTACTTAATAATAATTAATATTGTTATTAATCACTCCTTCATACTATCTTTTAGATAACGTACTTATGTGGAATTTAGCAATTTGATTCCAAAGTTCTTGCCAATCACAAGCAGCAAATTCGGCTTTGAGCTCAATGTGCTGACCAGTCAAATCAATGATTCCATAATAGGCAGGATTTAAAATCTTGTTTTTTAATGGAATCTTTGAATGTATGTCACGAAATTTTTCAAACATATCCAGCTGACTTGATAGTACAAAGTGCTTATCATCCTATTGATAAAAAAAACAATCATGATTTTATCTTCAAACAAATTCAAACAAACTCAAATCAAACTACTTGGACAATTTACCATCAGAAATTTTTTATGCGCATCAAATGACATAATCTCCTCTATGTCAAGGTTTTCTTCCTTGACGAATGATACCAGCTTATCGTTATTCTTAAAACACTTACTCATGTTGTTCTTTTCTGGCTTCTTTGCTTCTTTTATTAATTTGTGTTTTTCTCATTTTTTAAATTATTTAAAAATGAAGTTTGTTGTGTGATCGACGCGTACACGCTAATTATTTATCCTATTGGTTTTTTTTTTTTTTGGTAGGACAGACGCAAATTGATTTTTTTTTTTTTTTGGAAAAACAAAAAACAATTTATTTTTTGACAAAGTCCAAGGTGACAAAACGTGAGTGTTGTTGTTTGGTTTGGCTCGGGTCTCCTAAAGAATATGTGTTAATAGCTAACCAGAGGTACTATTTTTTACTTGTATTGATATGTGTGAGATGTCTTTATTTTAGCTTATAAATATTTTAATTGGAATCAAAACGCGGAGCAGATCTTGCTAGGTAATTATAAGATTTTCATTGATAATATTTTACTTTGCGTAATTGTAATAATAATACTATTATTAATATATAATTACAAGATGTCAAGGCAGCACACCATTGAATATGTTTAATATCTGATGATGTTGATCAAGGCAAAAATATTAACAAAGCTTAATTTGGACATACAATGAGCAAAATAATATAAATAGTGCACTATTTCGTCAAACCTTTCATTACTTGAATAATTCGTCCATTAAATTTTTAAAGTATGTTTTTTGCAACCGATTTAAACATTAAAATTATTCGACCCAAGCCTCTTGGAAAATTCACCATTATTATTTTATTTTACCTTTTTAGTTTTATCTCCACAGCACAAGCTTTAATTATATACAATTCAACTGATAATACTTTTAAATGTTATTCTAATGGTGAGATAACTGATAATCTTTCTAGTTGCAAAGAATATCAGGGATATGACTTACTTGATGTTACATTATCAACATTTCTACCAGCATTTATTTATATTTGCTTCTCCAAAGATTTAAAAGACACAACATTTACAAAAGCTGTGAGGTTTTTTGTAGGCTTTACCACAAATTTATATATGACGTTTATAGTAATCTACTCTTTTTTGGCTCTTAAAAGTGATATTAACATTAAGCCTCCTTGGACAATAACATTTATATGTTGTAGTGTTTCTGTTTTCATAAACAGTTTATTATATGTTTTATTTAGGATACTTGATAAGCAGAAAGAGTTTTTGTATAGTAAAAATCATTTTATGATGTTTGTTAGGGTTTTAAGTAATCTAATTAACATTTTCCTAATTATTTTAGTTTATCTTTTTCTGATTACAAACCGTGATAGCATTACAACTGAGATGTTAATATGGATTTTCATCATTTCAATAGCATCATTAATTACTTCGATAGCAATAGTTTTGTATTGCAAAATGAAAGGAGGTTCTCTTGGTGCTCAAATGGATAGATTTAGAAATAAAATCGTTGGACATGTGCTCTACACATGTATCATAACTATGATATTGGCTTCACATGCTATCCTTGCTCTAGAGATTGCCTTTTGGTTCGATTTGAATAGTTATCTAAGTAAATTATTGTGGAATGTAACAGCATTAAGATTTACTATGACAATTTTGGCTTATCAAGAGCCAGTACCTGAAACTTCAATTAGAATAATTGAGGATGTTGAAAATGTGAATGTGGATGTGGATGTGGAACAAAATAAAAAAATTTCTGATGAAAAAGGATAATTTCTCGTTATATATCAAAAAAAAAATTATCATTTTTATTTACAGTATATTATTTTGATAAAAATGATTTATATATATATATTAATTATTTTCAAGAGGAATATAAAGTTAATTATCTTGTGAATTGTTATATTTACTTTATTCTAATAAAATTACATGAGCAGGATATTTCCTTTATTTTTTTTAAAAAAAAAGATTTATAATATTTTATTAACAATAAAAATAAAGGCGATGATATTTTCTTTATCAATATACACTACATGGATAATAAAGTCAAGCGCATTTTTAAACAAAAATTGCACAATAAAATATATCATTTTGTAGCTTAGGTACTCAAAATTTTACCAAAAAACTTAATAACCACGCCTCAGATTTTAACAATAAGAATCTGTATTGCCTTGAGTTTTTATGTAAACAAGCAACAGTTTTTGAACAAATATACTGAAAAAATAAAAACAATGTACCTAATTACAAAATATCAACCTTCATTGAACAGTCTCTCTACTATCAAAAAGATCTTGATGAAATGATTCATCATAACCTAATAACCTTTTGATTGAGAGTATGCCAAGGAGAATTGAAGCAGTTATTAAAAATAATTGGCGGCAAATGAAATATTGAGTCAACTATTACTTTATTTATTAAATTTTAATACCGAAACTCCAAGGATCTCTGTGGTGAACTTCCAGTTTTTTATTAACATTAATATAACAAAGTTTATATTCTGTATACAGTATATAAATGGCAGTTTATTATTATTATTATTATTATTATTATTATTATTATTATTGTAAATAGCAACCTCTTTCTTTAACAAATATTAACACTTTTAATGTCTGTTATTCCTTTGACATCTATTTTTTTATATTGACATATTTTGGGTTAGCAATAATATCTTTAAAGACATCATGGAGAGTCGCCTCCCTTAGCATCCTATATACTTTTTACAATTATTGTCATATTTTTTACTTTTTATATATACAATTTTCTTATGATAAATTTATAATAAAAAAATAAAAGAAAAGATACTTTTAAAGTTGTAAGGTATTTTAAAAGTTGCAAAAAAGTTTAAAACGGAAGAAGAAAACTTTGAATTGACAAATCATCGGTGAAAGAAGAAACACAACACTTTGACTTTTTTATATGATATGTAACATCCAAAAAAATTTTATTGCAAATGTTGAAAATAATAAGTCACATAAGATCACATTTGCTAAAAAAATAAGATGACCTTTAAAGAACATTTTGCAAAAAAATTTTTTTTTATAACATGAATCAAAATCTTTTCACATGACCAACTGGTTTTTACTGTGGTAATTATTGTAAAACAAATATAAATAACCGTGTAATGAGATCAAATAAATGATTGACAAACAGAACTTCCGTTATGCTCATTTTTGTAAGCTATTTTATTTTAATATAAACAAAGAAAAACAAACTTTAAAAAAGGAAAACTTAAGTAGGACGTGAACAGTCGAGTTGTATAATTGCTACTGGCTTCCTTATATAAGCGTAGATAGTCATCAGTTCCAATTCGGCACAGACCGAACTTTTGAAACAATATTTGCAACCAAAAAAACATAATTAATTGAAGAAATATCAATATTTCAACAACCCAAAAATGATTTTGATTAAATCCAGAATACCTCTTTGATAGGATAGGTAGGAGTAATTAGTATACCTCTACATATTAAAGAATTAATAAATTTAATATATATTAAATTTCCCCGCATTTGTTATATTCGTTTGGAGCGACTTAACGTTGTGTATCAATATTGATATTAATATTTATATTAATTTAAAAGCTCGTGTTACTCATAAATTATAATGGTGAAGCGAATTAAAGATGAAAAATACTATTACCATGAGTGTCCGAATTCACATTATATTGTTGTTGATATTATCATAAATAGAAAATTTTGGCATGATTTAAATTTTTTAAAATAAATTATTTAGTAGAATAAGTACATGCATTAAAGACAGTAATTTAATATACTAGTAGATATACAGATAATTTCTTTAATAATATATTCATTGTAATTATTGTTGACTACTACCTGCTACTCCGAGTATGCTATCTCTATTCCTATATTTATAATACAAAGTCGTAAGTATTATTACACTTAATGCTGCTAAGGGAATACTGAGACCAATAACTGTCTGAGGATTATCAATAAATAACGTTTCCGTTGCAGCATAGGGAGTTACTGTTGTTACAGAGAGAACTGTTGAGGTAGATCCTGTTGTTGTTTCAATAATTGTTGATGTTACAGTCTTGACTAGTTGTTCTTCTTCTGCAATTTCATATACTCCAATAGAATCAACATTAGTACCAATATTACCAAAGATAACGCCTGAAGGCAAAACAAATTCTTGCTTTGCCGGGTCATCTTTACCGTAACCAAGTGTTTGTTGTGGTGTTTTGAACATCAAGTATTTTACGACTGTAGCTCCACCCATAAGAATGTCAAGTTTGCCTCTTATCTCTGTTAATCCCCCATTAGCAACAAAATCAAATGGCGTTTGATCAACACCTCTTATACCTTGTCCCCGCTTAGTACCCTGATATTCATATGACATTCCATTTTTTGTCACTATGTTATAGACAAATCGGATAGATTCTAAATAGTCTCCACTTTTAATGTCTGTTATTCCTTTAACATCAATTTTTATTATATTGGCAAAACCACCATATGTTGGATTAGCAATAATATCTTTAAAATCATCATAGTGAGTCCCTCCGTTGCCTCCATTCGCATCCGATATACTTTTTATAGTTATTGTCATGATATTTATTTTTTTTTTTTGATTTTTATATAAGAGACTTTCTCACAAGTATGCTTATTTTACACTCAGTGATAAAATTATAATAAAAACAAAGAAAAATGCTTTTGGTTAAAAGCTGTTTAAGGTATTTACTTTCAAATGAAAATTTTTTAAAAAAATTTAAAGTGGAACAAGAAAACTCTGAATTAAAAAATCATTGATGAAAAAAAAAATATAATATGCAGTTTTGTATGGTTATAACATTGTAACGCTAAAATGAAATTTATTTGCATGTCTGCTCAACATTAGGCGTGTACAAAACTGTTTGTGAATAAAAAAAAAAGACAAACTTTAAAAAAGGAAAATTTAAGTAGGATGTAAGCAATCGAGTTGTGTAGCAAAATATTTGCTACTGGCTTACTGATGTAAACGTAACTTCGGCACAAAATGAACATTTGAAAAAAATATTTTGCAACCAAAAAATCGTAAAGGAAGGAATTCAAGAAATACCAACATTTCAACAGTCCAAAAGTCTATTCGATAGGATAATTTCGTTAATCAGTTTAAAAAAGACTTTTCAAATTGTATATACTGATCATCAATGACATTTAATTTTAGAGATTCATAATTACAAACATTGTTATTAATATCGCAAGATAAGTTGTTAATTTAATTTATTTTCATTCCCTTTAGCAAATAAAAATCACTGGAAAATTGAAATAATCTTTTTACTAATACTAATCGTTATTTTTCATTAAATTCATCCTGCTTTGAATGAAAAAATTTTAATGGAATTGTTCACGCTTCTATAAAAATTTATTATTACATTAGAGTTTTAAATATTAAAATTTAACAGCAAGAAATAATATTATAATCATATTTTATTTTATTTTTTTAACGACATAATATTTTCCTTTTAATAATAATAATATTCCTTTCTAAAAGTTCGTGTTACCAATAATGGTGAAATATCACGGGAAAAATTGCCAAACTGGCAATAAAAATGGAAATATTATGAGAGTTCGAATCCATAAAGTTACTGTGAATATAATGACATGATTTAATGAATTCTTTAATAGAATAATTACGTGAATCAAAAGATAGTAATTTAATACAGATATACTGTACAGATAACCACCGATATTTTCTTTAATAATATATTCACTGTAATTATTGTTGACTACCACCTGCTACTCTGAGTATGCTGTCTCTATTTCTATTCCTATATTTATAATACAAAGTCGTTAATACTACTAGTACACTTAATGCTGCTAAGGGAATACTGAGACCAATAACTGTCCGAGAATTATCAACAAATGTTGTCTCCGTCGCGGTTATTGTTTCAGTGATTGTTGATGTTACAGTCTTGACTAGTTGTTCTTCTTCTACAATCTCGTATACTCCAATAGAATTAACAGTTGGACCGCTATTACCAAAGATAACACCCGGAGGCAAAACAAATTCTTGCTCCAATGTGTTATTTCTACCATATTCAAGTGTTCGTTTTGGTGTTGTGAACATCAAATAACCTATGACTGGTTCTTTGCCTACGATGAAGGTTCCAACTCTGCCTCTTATCTCTGTTAACCCCCCATAAGCAACAAAATCAAATGGCGTTTTAACATCACCTCCTACACCTTGTCCCCGCTTAGCACCTCGATGTTCATATAATGTTCCGTCTTTTCTCACTACATTATAGACAAATCGGATAGATTCTAAAAGATCTCCACTTATAATGTCTGTTATACTTATAACATCAATTTTTTTTATATTGACGAAACCACCATATTTTGTTGAATTACCAATAATATCTTTAAAGTCATCATAGAGAACCCCTCCATTGCCTCCTTTCGCGTCCAATATATTTTTTACAATTATTGTCATATCTTTTACTTTTTATATATGCAACTTTTTACTTGTATGTTTATTTTAGTGATAAAGTTATAATAAAAAAAATAAAATAAGATACTTATGGTTAATAGTTGTAAGGTATTTAAAATGCAAAAAAGTTTAAAATGGGAGAAGAAAACTTTGAATTGAAAAATCATAGGTGAAAGAAGTAACACAACACTACTTTGATAACATTTTTCTTTTTATATGATATGCAACATCCAAAAAAATTTTTAAAATGAACGAACATTTTTGTAGCATTGCAGAAGTTCTTTATGATTGGTTAAAAAATGATTGACAAAATTTTCTAAACTCTTCACGTTGTAATTAGAAATTAGTGAGTCTTTTAAGTTTCATAACCCTTAAATAATAAGGAATTAGAGAAAAATTGAACTATCATTAATTATTGGTAGAGTAATAGTAAATAATTCAATTACACTTGAGCAATGAGTGACTTTAATTTAAATGATTGTGATAAAGAAAATAATGAAAATGAAGCAGATGTAAATATAAATGATCAAAGAAAGCTTATTGTAAACACTATTAATGAAATAAAGAAATTGGTAAAAATTATGTTTTTAAGAATATAAATTTAATTCAATAATCAAAATTTGTCAATTTGTTCATTATTTTACATTACCAACTGATCCTTTGTTAGCATCCTTTATTGCAAATGTTAAAAATAATAAGTCACATAAGATCACATCTGCTAAAAAAATAAGGTGACCTTTAAAGAACATTCTTGTAAAACAAATATATATAAATAATCGTGTAATGAGATCAAATAAATGATCGACAGAACTTCCGTTATGCTCATTTTTGTAAGCTATTTTATTTTAATATAGTGGCTTATAAACAAAGAAAAACAAACTTTAAAAAAGGAAAACTTAAGTAGGACGTGAACAGTCAAGTTGTATAATTGCTACTGGCTTCCTTATATAAGCGTAGATAGTCATCAGTTCCAATTCAGCACAGACCGAACTTTTAAAACAATATTTGCAACCAAAAAAACATAATTAATTCAACCCAAAAATGATTTTGATTAAAATCTAGAATACCTCTTTGATATGATAGGTAGGAGTAGTTAGTATACTTCTACATATTAAAGAATTAATAAATTTAATATATATTAAATTTCCCCGCATTTTTTATATTCGTTTGGGCGACTTAACGTTGTATATCAATATTGATATTATTAATATTTATTAATTTAAAAGCTCGTGTCACCATTATAATTTATGAGATGAAAAATGCTATTACCATGAATGTCCGAATTCACATTATATTGTTGTTAAATAGAAAATTTTGGCATGATTTAAATTTTTTAAAATAAATTATTTAATAAAATAAGTACATGCATTAAAGACAGTAATTTAATATACTAGTAGATATACAGATAATTTCTTTAATAATATATTTATTCATTGTAATTATTGTTGACTACTACCAGCTACCCTGAGTAGACTATCTCTATTTCTATATTTATAATACAAAGTCGCTAGTACTAGTACACTTAATACTGCTAAGGGAATACTGAGACCAATAATTGTCCGAGGATTATCAACAAATATTGTCTCCGGTTCTGGTTGAGCTGCTGAGATAGATATTGTTTCAGTGATTGTTGATGTTACAGTCTTGACTAGTTGTTCTTCTTCTGCAATCTCATATACTCCAATAGAATCAACAGCAAGACCGCTATTGCCAAAGATAACACCCGGAGGTAAAACAAATTCTTGCTCTTTTGGGTTAATTTTACCATATTCAAGTGTTTGTTTTGGTGTTTTTAACATCAAGTATCTTACGGTGCCGCTACTTCTGCCTCTTATCTCTGTTAACCCCCCATTAACAACAAAATCAAATGACGTTTGACCTAAACCTCCTCCCCGCTTAGTACCTTGATGTTCATATGTTTTTCCATCTTTTGTCACTACGTTATAGACAAATCGGATAGATTCTAAAGCATCTTCACTTTTAATGTCTGTTATTCCTTTAACATCTATTTTTTTTATATTGGCGAAACCACCGTATGCTGGATTAGTAATAATATCTTTAAAGTCATCATAGAGAGTCCCTCCAGTGCCTCCCTTTGCATCCGATATACTTTTTACAATTATTGTCATATTTTTTACTTTTTATATATACAATTTTCTTATGATAAATTTATAATAAAAAAATAAAAGAAAAGATACTTTTAAAAGTTGTAAGGTATTTTAAATGCAAAAAAGTTTAAAACGGAAGAAGAAAACTTTGAATTGAAAAATCATCGGTGAAAGAAGAAACCACAACACTACTTTAATAACATTTTCTTTTTATATGATATGTAACATCCAAAAAATTTTTAAAATGAGTGAAACATAAACATTTTTGTAAGAATAGCAGAAATTCTTTATGATTGGTTAAAATGATTAAACTCTTGATTTTGCCACATTGTAATAGTAAATAATTCAATTACACTTGAGCAATGAATGAATTTAATTTAGATGGTTGTGATGAAGAAAATAATGAAAATGAAGCAGATGTAAATATAAATGATCAGGAAAGCCTATTGTCAACACTATTAATGAAATAAAGAGTTGGTAAAAATTATTGTTTTAAGAATATAAATTTAATTCAATAATCAAAATTTGTTAATTTGTTCATTATTTTACATTACCAACTGATCCTTTGTTAGCATCCCTTATTGCAAACGTTTAAAATAATAAGTCACATAAGATCACATCTGCTAAAAAAATAAGATGACCTTTAAAGAACATTCTTGTAAAACAAATATAAATAATCGTCAAAATAAATGATCGACAGAACTTCCGTTATGTAAGCTATTTTATTTTTATATTAATATAAACAAAGAAAAACTAACTTTAAAAAAGGAAAATTTAAGTAGGACGTAAATAGTTGAGTTGTATATTTGCTACTAGCTTCCTTATATAGGCGCAGATGGTCATCAGTTCCAATTCGGCACAGACCGAACTTTTGAAACAATATTTGCAACCAAAAAAACATAATTAATTGAAGAA